TAATATAGGGGCCTCAAAAACTAGAACAGGGCTTGCTCGGGTTATATTATACTAGTTGTACTTTCTTATAGTAAGGAACCCTAATTTTCAGGATCAATGTTAGTAACTGTTAGGAATTCTTCAGACCTCAAGGTGATTGAGTTGAGCCCAACCTCAAACCCCGAACCTTGTACGGCCTATAACCAAACTTTCAATCTTTGATGGGCCCAGTCTGGAAAGCATAGACTATACTCATGCCCAAAATGTGCCGAACGCCCATAGGCCCCTAAGTAGTTCCNNATTACCTTAGAGGATTCTAAATATATACTACAAAAAGGAACTACTTAGGGGCCTATGGGTAGATAGGGCTTAGGGTGCAGAGTCTAGGATCTACCAGCAGAGTCTGGGAACCTAGTAATGCTATTGCCGCTAGGCTTCGGAGCAGCGGCGGTTTAGGGCTTTAGGCTTTCAGAGTTTCGGGTACCTTGGCAGTCTGAATTCTGAATAGCTTCATTCCAATATATGCCCCAAGGGCCCAAACCCCTTTGCTGATTACAAAAAAAAGCACCTACATAGCTTCCTTCCAATATGCCCCAAGGGCCCAAAGCCCTTTGCTGAGTATTACAGCACCTACATACATCGATCCAAACCCCCAAAAGACCCAGGAGAACAACATCGGCTTTTTGGCTACTTCCGCTGCATCCATGATCTCCTTCCATGTGCTGAAAGCCTCCTGTAGTGCCTTAGTTGCTCGGCCCAAGAAAAAATGAGCTTTCAGTTTCTCAAGGGGTTTAGGGTTTAGGGTTAAGAAAATATGAGCTTGCAGTTTTTCGAGGGGAATCGAAACTCCAAATTGCCCAAAAAATTGACTACTCTGCGACTAAGATGCGGGTACTTTCAGCCCATGCTGCAGCATCAGTCGGCCCGCCATAGGATTCCGCACCAAAAGCCGGGTCAAAGAAGACAGGGGGTAAAACGAAGAGTGCCAGATATGTCCATTGTAGACCATGAGTCTGCTCAGGGATTGAATCCACCAAATATCCCTTCCTGATCTTCTTGCCCTTCCTGCTCTCGCTCCTCTTCTTTCTCCACTTCTGAGCATCGTTATTTGCCCGCGCCCGGTTGCTGATCATTGTATACTTGATGCAGTGTAATGTGTTGACGTGGCGCCTTCTACATTCTCTTCAACGCGACATAAACAATCTTGGCCGATGTGCTGCTCTCAAGTTTGCTATGAGATGTTAAAGCCTCCCTAGACAGCAGAACCACTGCTCTGTGTGTGTGTGTATTCTTCTCATTGTGGTCGCAAAATGGTTAATAACAAACCAAGCATTGGCATTGCAAAAGCGTGTTACTGCAACTGTTTAGCAACGGTACCACTGTTGAGGCTTTGCTGCCCGGGGTACTGTCACGAATATGACAACGTACTTAACATGGATATGGGTGTTTTGATATGAGTGCAATGGCCACAAGAAATGCAGGCAACCTCCTTCTCTCTGAACCTTAACTTCACTATTGAGAATCAAGTTCAATGTTCGATTCCTTTACCCTCTTATGTCTGAGCACGGCGTCCCTAAACCCTAAACCTCTTGCCTGTTCATCCGAAAAGGCTCCACGTGCACCAGCTCGAAGAGCCCAGCATGGTCTTCGCCTCTGGGCAATGCTGGCCCCGGCCAGAGCCCAGCACAGGTGCCACAACCTCACAAAGCTTCGAGTGGCTTCGGGGTCTGAAAGAGTTTGCCCAAAAAACCTAATCCCTCAAAAAACCCGGGCTAGAAGGGCTTGTGGTTGGATAGTTTTTGTTTTCTGGGGCTTTAGGTTCCCAGCTCTTTGGTTCAAAACACTTTAAGACTTAGTCTTCAAGCGAGTCTGTCAATCATGACGCAGAACACCCTGAACCCCAAGCCCTGAAGCCTAAACCCAGGCCAACAGCCGTAACAACTCAGGGGCTGTGGGGGCACAGTCGGTGCATGGAGCCGGGATCATCCACGCACTTGCCACTTTGGGCCCACGTCCTCACTTGACTGGCTTTCAGGTTTAGGTTGAGGCTTTACATAATAATAGTATTATTAATAATCATAATAACAATAATCATCATATTATGGCCTTAATATTTAGAATAGGGTTTCGGGCTATATTATATTATTATAACGGATCTGCAAGTCGAAGGTCTAACGATTCGAGGAAAGGGGTTGCTTTGACTTTAGGTGTCTGGACATGGATCTGACGCTTACAGGCACAGGGATGTTTCAGTGTACACTGGCTTTTGTCGAGCGTGTGCTTACCCACAGGGTAAACCCTAAACCCGAACCCCTAAACCCTGAACCGTAAACCCCTAAACCCTAAACGTTCGACCGGCCGAAGTGTTCAGACAAGCCTGAACCCTAAACCCATAAACCCCTAAACCCCTAAACCCTAAACCCCCCAGAAACTCTAGAAATATCCCTCTGAAGCCCTAAAAAAGCGGGACAACTTGCTTTCTCTTGCAGACACCCTTGCCCTCAAAAGGACTCCTATTTTAAGGCTTTTGGGCCCAAAGACCCGCTTATATATGCAGACCGAGGATCTCACAGGCGAGGTGCCAATCCACACCTGGACCACGGGAGCCAAGAAGCGCCAGGCTTTGGACTTAGGGGTTTGGGGTTTGGGGTTTGGGTTTAGGGTTTATAGGGTTTATAGTTTAGGGCTTAGGGTTTAGAGTTTAGGGTTTATAAAGTGCTAGAAGACTTGGCAACAAGGCTTAAAACACAGCTTGATTTAGGGTACTTCTGTAACCGCAGGTATAAGAAACTTATGTACTTATTACGTCTGCTGGTCATGTAAGTCTATGAAGCCTTACTACCCCGTATGCAAACCCTATCCATAAGACTACAAGCATCATCACAGTGAAGTCATGCTATAACTGATACTGCTCCTTACGGCTATGCGCCGTATATACATGTATACATATTCTAAACCCTCCTCGATCGCGGGAAGCGCCAATGGGAAAGGCATAATTGCATGTTCAAACTATACCTGAAACCACAAAAGCCTAAAGCGCAAGACCGTGTCCCTTTGCCCCCAACCTTACAAAGCCCTAAACCTTATAATATCCTAAACCCCCCAGACTAAAACCCCAATGCGAAACCACACGATAGAACGCTTGTACAACCCATCATATAGTTTTCCCTATTGTAAGTGGACTTTATAAAGGATCCCAGCAGCCCCGCAACGCCTTATGAAAACGCCCAGCCAAAAACCGTGTACATCTTCTTAACTACCAAGAAGCCCTAAACTCTAAACCTTAAACCCTAAGCATTAAACCATGAACTCTAATTGCAAAGAAAGACATTGTAGCGAAGTCATGGAATCAAGCTCCCCCTCTGCGCCCAGCAGCAGAGGCCACAATGGTCGTTCCCATGCCCTCCCCACAGTCGATGATATGCATCCTTAGGCAATCTTGCGCATTAAGCATCCTTTTCGGTATCCATAGGCTTTGGGGCTCATATAGGATGCTTCAAGGAATCTGACGGGTTTGCTTTAAGATCTTTAAGGGATCTGTAGAGTTATTTGAGGGATCTTGAGGGGTGTTATAAGACTGTGAGGTATCCATCCGGCTCCAGTGACGGAGTGTAGGTAGGGATCCTTTAAAAGGATCTATATGCCAAACCATCAGGGCTACGATGTTTGTTCGCCACAAGGTTTCCTCACAGGCTCTGGAAGGCGTGGGCCTTGGGATGTCGGATTTACAGTTTCGGGTTTAGGTCCTGTTAGGTATCGGGCGCAGAGTCTAGTTCTTTGGTATGCTGGCAACACTTATACACTTAGTTAAACCTCCCCAAGCCCCCGAACTCAAAGAATTCGAAACCAGTGAGCCCTGAAAGCCCAAAGCCCTTCACCCTAAACCCCAAGCATTAACAACACAAAGCAATGGGCGGTGTCCTCTAGATCAGGGGCTTCCTTTTTCGGGTGTTTCTCATTGGGTCTTTTAAGATCCAAAGAGGGGAATTAGGGCGTATAGAGTCTAAGCCCTACAGCCCTGGACCCAAACCCGAAACCCTGAAGCCCCGAACCGCAAGCCAGAGCAACCTGCTCTTCGAAGTCTCGAAGGCAATTGTGCAAAGCCGTCTCCTCAAGAGCGGATGGCTGGGGAATTTCGAGCATTCGGGTTTCGGGGATCTAGAACTTAAGGTTTGTAGGGGTATAGTTGTGAGGTGCAGAGAAAATAGCAAGGACTCCGAGCTGAGAGGGTTTCAGAGTTGGGCTTTTGGGCTTTGGGGTTTTGGGGCGTAGGGTTTTGGGAAGAGGGTGGGGCTTAGCCCAAGGCGACGCGATGGTGTCTGTTCTGAGCGTTGCTGTTGATACATAACCATCATCTTCGCATCACCACTACCCGGTTCATGATTAGGCGCCATGGGTATGGCGGTTCTTTTGGCACAAGCTGCTGCAAGCCCTGAGGAGGGCATCGCTGCTGTTTCAGTACAGATATCAACTCTAAGCTTTGTGGCTTTGTTTGCTTGAGGTGAATTTCAGAAATCTTTCGTAGCAGTAGCAGTAGCACTGATAGCAGCAGTAGGAGGAGGAGGACAGGCGCAGGACGAGTAGTACGAGTAGAAGAGAAGTCGGAGTAGTAGAAGGAGCAGGGGCGGCAGTAGGTAGTAGCAAAAAAGCAATAGCAGTAGCAGTAGCAGGAGCAGGACGAGGTGTAGGAGTGGAAGTCGGGTAGGAGAGCGGGAGGAGGGAGGAGGAGTAGGAGTAGAAGAAGCGGCAGTGGTGGTGGTGGTGGTAGTAGTAGTAGTAGTAGCACTACCAGCAGCAGTAGTACTAGTACTAGTAGTACTAGTAGTACTAGTAGTACTAGTAGTACTAGTAGTACTAGTAGTACTAGTAGTAGTAGTAGTAGTAGTAGTAGTAGTAGGTGTAGGCACCCCCCCTACCAACTACACTTGCTCTTAGCCATGTTAAGACAACATCCATTTTACTCGGTATTTACAGCACCTTCGTCATGTACGATCATCATAAGAAGCCTCAAAATCGACTTGCCGAGTTTGCAAACTCGGCCTGTTGATTTCTGGGGGGGTTGGGGGGTGGAGGGGTCATGATGACGACAGTGTTACGCAAACACAACCAACAATATTACCCAAGAGCCGATCTACCCGGTATTTACAGTACTTTCATGATGTCATACTTTCTTATATAGTTGCCACCCCTACTTTTGGACTGTGCGTCGTAAACTTTGGTGTCTCGAACGGGTTGCAGCGAAGACTCGAAATTGGGTTTGGGAAAGCTTTTCCGCGGTATTTACAGTACTTTCACACACAACCCCGCTTTAACTCGGTATTTACAGTACTGTTAGTGGTGAAAGGTGATAAATGTTTTTGAACTTCGTGATGTTGGTGATGGAATGTGTTTGCTTTTTGGTGATGTTGGTGATGAAATGTGTTTGCTTTTCCGTGAGCACACAACCCCGCTTTTACT